GCTTGCCTTGCATGCATGAGGCCCTGGGTTCGATTCCTCAGCACCACATAAGCAAAAAGAAAAAAGCCGGAAGTGGTGCTGTGGCTCAAGTGTAGAGCAGTAGCCTTGAGCTGAAGAGCTCAGGGACAGCGCCTAGACTGAGTTCAGGCCCCACAACTGGCAAAAAAAAACAAAAAACAAAACACCAGTTGAATGTAAACTAATACAACCACTCTGGAAAGCAGTCTGGATGTTCCTCAGAAAACTCAACATAGACATACACTATTACCCAGCCATATCACTCCTAGGCATCTACTCTGAGCAACAGGATCCAGGATACAAGGACACCTGTTCATTGCTGCACTGTTCACAATAGCCAAGATATGGAAACAACCCCAAAATTGTGGTACCTATATACAGTGGAATTTTACACAGCTATTAGAAAGGATAAAATAATGGCATTTCAGGGAACTGAATGGAACTAGATTTTGAGCAAGATAAGCGAGGATCAGAGAGACAAATGGCACATGGTCTCCCTGATATGTGGATGTTAGACTCAAAACACAATGAGATATGACAAAGTAAACTCAAGATACCCATACACAGTAAAACCAAAAGAGGTTTTTATAGTGCCCAAGGACCTCATCATAGATGCATAAAATAACATACAGACTGAAAAGAAAACCCAAAGACAAGGAAACAAAGGACCTCTTCTTAATTTGTCGTATCATTTTTAGATGACTAAGTTCTTTACCTCATATATGGTGGATACACATGCACATCTGGGGGAAGTTAGGAGGAGGGCACAGAATCAGAGGAAAACTGGTGAAAAATACAGCAGAAGAACTCATCAGCTGCACTGGACATTGATGAAAGTGAACTAAGCAATTCAAGGGCAGTGATGGGAGGGAGGGAATAAGAGAAAAAGGAAACAGCTGACACTAAGCAAAAGGAAAGAAATGAACATATCACCAGATTTGGAAGAAATAGTTTTATAAAAGCTCATAGAGTTCATAAGCTTTGTAGATTAAGATAATGATGATTATCAATGTAGGTTAAAATGTGTTTGTAACTTTAGCTAACTATACCACAGTACCATGAAATGTATGTAATCACTTAATCTCAATAAAGAAATATTTAGAGTGAAAAAAAAGTGGAGATAGGAGATGCTGTTACTGTTTATCACCTGGGATTGACTTGTACGCCCTCATGTTTCTTAAACAAATACTTTATTTATAAGAAATCTCTTTAATATAATTTTAAATATTTATTGGATGCCACTGGCTCAAACCTGTAATTCTAGCTATTTGGAAGGCTAAGATCTGGAGGATTTTTATTTGAAGGTGACCTGGGCAGAAAGGTCTACAAGGGCTTGGTTCTATTGACTCATGCTTATAATCTTACCTACTCAAGAAGCTGAGATAAGGATTGAACCAAAATCATAGGCAGGACTGTCCATGAGACTCATTTCCAATTAACCCCCAAAAGCCAGAAGTAGAGATATAGATCCAGTATAGAGCACTAGCATTGAACAAAAAACCTCAGGGATAGTGCTTAGACCTTCAAACCACAAGACCAACACCAAAAACAACTCACTAGATACTACACTGAAAATTCACTATACAAATTGTGGGTTGGGATGGGGGGGGAGGGGGAGGAGGGGTGGTGGAGACTCGGAGAGAGCAAAGAAGGGGTGACATTGTCCAAAAAGAAATGTACACTTTATCTGATTTGTGTAACTGTAATCCCTCTATAATCACCTTTATAATAACAATTTAAAAAAAAAAACACCCACCAGCACTATACATTGCCCCTCCACCCCCTGTCCTGAAGCATGAATTCAGGGCCTGGGCACTCTCCTTGAGCTTCTTTTGCTCAAGGCTAGCATTCTACCACTTGAGCCATAGCACCACTTCTGGCTTTTTCTATTTATTTATTTTTTATTTTTTTTAATTTATTTTTTTTTAATTTTTATTTTTTTATTGTGAAAATACTGTACAGAGGGGTTACAATTACGTGGGCAAGATAATGAGTACATTTTTTTTTTTTTTTGGTCGGCCGTGGGGCTTGAACTCTGGGCCTGGGCGCTGTCCTTCAGCTCTTCAGCTCAAGGCGAGCGCTCTACCACTTGAGCTACAGCGCCACTTCCGGTTTTTT